CCGCAGAGAACGCGAGGCTGCTCCCGGACCGACTGTACCTGATCTGGATTCCCTGCTGGCTTCTTTCCGACGCACAGGCCCGAGCCCCGCGGTCCACACTTGGGCCCCGAGGGCTGTGGACCCCTGGAGGCTGATATCTAGCCTTGCCAGTTTGCTTAAGTGATTTGCTGAGTCTGATGAGCACCCTCCATCCCTCCTTGGCCTTAAAATCCTACTTTCCCTTTCAAACAAGTCTACCTCAAATCAAGAGACTTAACTGCTTAATTGCTGCACCCTCTCTATCAAACTAGTCCGAGCCCCTATTAGACCAATTCTCACTTGTTTTCATCACAGATCCACAAGATGCAAGGGTGACATTTCTAGCCCTGTTTCACTGCTAAGGGGCTGAGGCTTAGAGATGGCCCAGGACTAGAGGCCAAGTTAACTTTCCTCAGCTTCATGGGTCTTGAGGAAGTGCTAGCTGCCACAGCCAGGGACACCCCTACTGGGCTGTCTCCTGGAGCCCCTGCAGGAGTGTCTCCCCACCTGGGGCCTACGGACCCTACTGGAAGGGTCTGCTGTGACAGACAAGTGAGCATCGGGGATGCAGCCAGACAGTGCTGGGGCCCTGTCAGTCCAGCCTGGCAGGACATCCAGAGGACCTTGGCTTTGCCACAGCCAGGGCTCCAGCAGCTACTGCTGCCACCTACAAGGCTCACTCTGCCCTCTGCTGGGGATGGACAGTAGGAGTGGGCAGGAGTGGCAGAGAGAGATCGGTTAAGAAGTTAGTGTCATGATTCAAGCGAGAGATGATGAAGGCTTGGACCAGGGTGGGAGCAGCCAAGGTGCTGGGTGTGCAGCTTGGGGTCAGGCTGGAGAGCTGCTCTGTCCCCTGGAGGAGCAGCAAGGGTGGAGGCCGGGTTTCAGTGGCTGAGCGGTAAGTGGGAGATGGGAGAGCAGGAATGGGCACAACTCTGAAAGGCTGGATGCCACTGGAGGAGGAGCAAAGGGAGGATTAAGTGGCAGAGGAAGTGTGGATTCTAAAGGTGCACCTGAGCGTGAGGCTCAGGACTGCCACAGGCCCTGTCTGCACCTCCATGTACCCTTCTGCGATGAGGAGATTTGCTGCAGCAGGGCGTGTCAGCACAGTGCCTGCACCTTCTGGGGTTGGCCTTGGTGACAACTTTGACAGCAACGACGACAACGCAGGATGGGACGGCTGGGCAGGTGCATGAATCAGAGAGCGAGCCACCGGGAAGGGAGTACAGGAGGTGGAGGAAGGCTGTGCTGGGATGTTGAGAGAGCGAGGAAGCTGCTCGCCCTCCCTGCTCATGAGGTGGGAGTGGGTCACTTGCTAGCTGTTTAAGGGTGAGCACGGTTGCAGTTGTGAAGGTTGCTGGGGAGAGTGGAGAGCCTGCCCCAGCCGGTCTAGGCCTGGAGAGTCGAGGGGTCATGCTGCCCGCAGTGGTGGGGGGGTGGTAACAAAGAGGCTAGAGATCCTTGAAGTGGGGGCAGCGACTCGAGCCCCCTGCTGGATTTAGCAGGGACTGTGGTTGGCCGTTTGTGGTTCACAGGGGAGGGCCAGTAGGAGTGGAGAACCGCCAGGAGCCACTTTACCCACTATACCAACCGGTGGGCTGGGGTGGGACAGATGGTACTGGTGGGTTGGGCTGAGGAGCTGGGGGGTGGGGCTGGAAAGTTCTAGAGGAGGGGCCTGAGAATGGAAGCACCAAGAGGCAGGCACTCAGCCCCAGCACCACAGGCCCCTCCCTCCAACACTTTCACTTTTGTTTTCCTGCCCCAGGCCTTCTGCTTCAGGGCCAGCGAGGGAGTCCTGGCTGACGGCGGCCCAGGTAGTGGGGGAGTGTGTGGGGATGTGGGATGCCCGTAATGACGAGGGGTGCCAGGAATGCCGCCAAGGGGCCTGGAAGGGGCTGGGAGGGGTGAGGCGGGACTGTGGGGCCGCTACCCTACCCACTCTTCCGGCCCCAGGGCTGTGATGGGGGAGGCAGAAGCGGACGTGGGGGCAGCAGTGGAACTCAGCGGGCTGCTCCCTGACGTCCCGGACGAGCTGCTCACACTTTACTTCGAGAACCGCCGAAGCTCTGGGGGAGGACCTGTGTTGAGTTGGCAAAGACTTGGCCTCGGGGGCATACTCACCTTTCGGGAGCCTGCAGGTGAGGGGACCGATGAAAAGGGGCAGTCTGGGCCCCCTGCCCGCAGTCAGCCCTGACACCCCACTCTACCCCTGCCTGCAGACGCAGCAAGGGTCTTGGCCCAGGAGGCACATGTGCTTCAAGGTGCTCGGCTGAGCCTGCGGCCGGCCCCACCACGCGCCCCGACACGCCTGCTGCTCCAAGGGCTGTCTCCTGACACTGCACCCCAGCACCTGGAGCAGTATGTGCAAGCCCTTCTTTGTGCCACAGGGCACCCGGAGCAGCCCTGCCACATCCTGGCCAGTCCCCGACCAGACCGGGCCCTGGTCCAGCTGCCTGTGCCCCTTTCTGAGGCAGGTGAGAGGCAGGGTTGGGGCAGATGTGCCCGTTGGGGGAAATGCCCTGAGCTGACTCGCATCATCCCCGCAGAAGTCTGTGTCCTGAAGGAGCGGGCCCGGGCCCTGGATCTGGAGGGGGCAGAGGTGTCCCTGGCCTGGGTGCCTCGGGCTCGAGCCGTGCGTGTAGTGGAGAGCAGCCCCCCTGCAGACCTGCTGCTGCTGGAGCTGTACCTGGAGAACGAGCGCCGCAGTGGAGGCGGGGCCCTGGAAGGCGTGCGCAGCCTGCCCGGGGGCCTGGGCACCGTCATCTCCTTTCAGCAGTGGCAGGGTGAGTAGGGCTGCACAGACCCGGCCCAGCCCCTGCTGTCCCTCGGAGCCCTGACGGTCTTCTGGCCTTTTCCCTTCCTCCCAGCGGCTGAACGGGTGCTGCAGCAGGACCACTGGCTGCAGGGCTCCGAGCTGAGCCTCGTGCCCCACTACGACGTCCTAGAGCCTGAGGAGCTTGCCAAAGACACCAGTGGAGGGAACCACCTAGCCACGCTGGGGCCTGGGGCCACCGAGCATGCTCTCCTGGAGGGTGGAGAGCCAGTGAGGGCACAGAATTGTGCAGGGGACGTGACACCGGGCTCTGAGGAGGCACCAGGGCGATGGGGAACCTCTCTGAGGGCAGGTCCTCTCCAGGACAGGTCCTCTCTGGGACAAGCCGGGCCAGTCAGCCTGGAGCCCATGGGGTCTTCAGAACAGGAGGGGCCTCAGGTGAGCCTGGAGCCCGTGGGGTCTTCAGAACAGGAGGGGCCCCAGGTGAGCCCGGGGCCTATGGGGTCTCCAGGCCCATCGGAGATCACCACGGGGTCTCCAGGGCAGGTGGGGTCGGGGAGCCTAGGGGCCTGTGGGGTCGCCAGGGCAGGAGGGCCTGGTGGAGGCGGTGCTGCTAATGGAGCCGGGAGCGGTGCGCTTCATGCAGCTCTACCACGAGGACCTTCTTGCTGGCCTGGGAGACGTTGCCCTCTGTCCACTTGAGGGACCAGACATGACTGGATTTCGGGTGAGTGACCCCTGAGGATTCCTCCTTTGACCCTCCTCTCCTGCTGGGGGCTCTGGTTGCCTATCCTGTGCCCTAAACCTGCAGACTGCCCCCACCCCACCCCGTGGTCCTGCAGCTCTGTGGAGCCCTGGCCCTGTGCCAGGCAGCCGAGGAGTTTCTGCAAAGTCTGCTGGGCAGCATTAGCTGTCACGTACTGAGCCTGAAGCACCCAGGCAGCGCCAGGTTCCTGCTGAGCCCAGAGGGGCAGAG